CTGCAAATTACGCGAATCGGCAGTCGTTCTTCGTTGAAAGCAGCCAAATAATCACTTTATAGTGCTCTCCTACACAAAATAAAATTGGTTTATATTAAAATATTAATCGGAACCCTTTTATTTTTCGTATTTATTGTATGATCATAACTCATCAACACAAGTATAAAACCAAAATCTAACAACCCAGACCATAAAATGGCCTAATTTGCTATTATATTTTATAAAAATTTTTATAAAACGTAAGTGTTATGCATTTGAATTATTTGTATACAACAGCTGTTTGTTTTGTTTAACTTTCTTTTTGGGTTAATCTGTCGACTTTCTTCTCTATGTTGCTCGTTCAGTCTACTTCACCTTAAAACCCCCAAACGACTATATGAAATGGCATCAAGACCCAAAAGTCACTGCTTCGTAGAATCGTCTAGAAATTCTATATCTAAAATTCCTAGTAAGTTTAATGTTTTACATCGGATTATTACAACGATGCCTCTGTTAAACCTAATTTTCTTTAATTTTTGCTTACTCTTTTTCGTTACATGATTGCTGAGACAAGCAAATTGCCGGAAATCTGATAGTTCAATAGGTGAGCTCGCATGAATCTTCCAAAATGATTGCTACCATCATGCCTTTATAACCTGTTGGTTCTTTATTTCTTACACTAAATTATTTGGCAATTTTGCTCATTTTTGGCAGATGGAAAATTTAAAAGAGGCAACTAATAGTCGTCTTTCTGCAAGAACTGAAAGTCTAACTAGCTCAGCATCCTTATTAAATCGGGATGATAGTCCAGCCCATTCCAATTTACTAAATGTGAAATCTTCAGTAAAGTGTCTCCGTCTATCATCGGACGATCTTTCCTGCCATAATGCATTAGTAGTCAGCAGGAATGAAGACTTAGTTTCCATAGGAGAGTGGTCGTCGCTTGATCACCTTATTGAGAACAGCAAGTCTTGCTCCAGAAAATATCATATTTTCGTTTTTGTTCTTTCACTTTATTTTCGTTTTTTTCCGCGTAGTATCGTTTATATCCTTTTTATGTTCTTTCTGTTATCAGCCTTCTTTATTCTATTTCTTACACATCGTAGGCGAACAACAAGTGTTCTGGGTCGATGCCATACAAGCAGACAATGGTAGCCAGACTCGGATTATGTATAGCAACGCCAAACCTATTGGTAACGGCTCCTTTGGAATGGTTTTTCACGCTTTTCTTGGGGACCAAAAGGAAGTAGCAATAAAAAAAGTCTTGCAGGATAAACGATATAAAGTATGCAATGGTTATTGATCGTAGCCTGTCACCTTATCAGATTCATTTAAATTTATTTTTAAATTTAACTTGTAGAATAGAGAGTTGCAAATTTTGAAAGAACTCCGGCATTCTAACATAGTAGCACTCATCTACTACTTTTATTCTGTCTCGACTTCAGTAAGCACTGGATTATTTTTTTCTAAACTTAATTTGTGCTCTTACATTCGTTTGTTCTTCCATTCCTGCCTTTCATTCAAACATATTTTACTGAATGAGGCTAGATTAATTATACTTTTATTGTCTTTACCTCTCTTGCACCTTAATATTTCTTATTTGGTCGCTGCTACTAATTTTAGAAGCCAACTGAAATGTACCTTAATCTGGTTCAGGAGTTTGTTCCACAGACTTTAAGTCGACTTATCAAACACTATTGGCGGCAAAGACAAATAATTCCTCTTGCATACGTAAAAGTGAGTCTGAGTATGTTACGTTCGCTTATTTGTAAAAATATTTAATTTTAATTAATGAATTTGAATGTGGATATTTCGTCATGGATTTGCAAGAAGATATGCAACTTGAGTATTATGGAAAGGCTATTATATGCCTTTACAATTGTAATTATTTATTCGATAATGGACATTAATGTCTCGCTAATTGTATCTTTTGCTCGGCTTGCCTAAAATATTTTAAACCTTTTTCAATTTCTAGATAAATTACTGATCATCAAAGGACCCATTATCAGCTCATTTGTTTATCCGTATTTATAAAATATTTTATCTATAGCCTTTATAAAGCGATCCATTTTCAAAACTCCGCTTATTTATTTTAATGGTATTGAGAAGATCCATGAGGATATATGATTTTGTTTTTGCCCTCCTAGTCACACCTTAACATATTGAACTTTTTTAATATATTTTGCTTTGTTAAGCTGTATTTGCAATATATTTGCAGCTTTATATCTAAACGGAATCGAATTATACTCCCTAGTGGCCAAAGCAGCTATAATTATCACATTTTTAGTGGCGAGAAAGCCTTGATTATAGTCATTTTTGCTGTACATACTATGCATGTTAATCAAATGAATCGATAACACGCTTTCGACTCGTAGCTTCATCCGGTTCTATAAGTATATACTCATCCACTCACTTTTATTTGGGGCGACTGGATGTTATGTTGTTATTGGGCTCAACTTTCAGCACTTTAGCTCTGCTATTTGTCGCCGAACCAATTTCCTTCTGTCCTTTCTTTTGTCCTTATTTCGCAACTCACTAGATGTTTACAATGTTGGCATCCTTATTCCTGGCTCAGTGCTAATCTATGCTCGATGCAACGAGCTGATTCCACATTGATCTAAACATTGCTCAGTCG